GCGTTATCTTTAAAAACTGGGGATCTTTTTCTTGGCGTTGCGCTCCAATGCGGTTTTATGGATTTCCAACAGTTTCAACACGAGTTTCAAAAAAATCCGATAGCCGAATGCCGGATACACCGATTTCATTATTGTCGATCTCTTGGTTACCTGTTTGTGGCTACTTTTGTTCGAGTTTTTTTTTTTTTTTTTGAAATCGTTATGGAATTTTACCCCTATTCCTTGTATGTATCCAGTATATTAATAGACGTTTTGATTTCGAACGGCGATCCCCGGATTTTCAACACAAATCCGAAAACTAGTTAATCTGGACCGGGAGAGTAGTAGGGAAGAGTAATGTGCGATAATAAGAGTAACAATACACCGTTTTTTAACGATACCCTCACTTGTTCTCCCGGGGTCTAAATTTAAAACTGTTATCTACGTAAATTATATAAGAGCCGATCACTCGAAATCGCACCGTGTCTCAAGAACTATTGCGTTTAGAAAGGTGCCAATGTAGTGCGGACGATAGGAACAAATTCGTTAAAATATGCGGTTTTTTTTTTTTTTTTTTAGATTCTCGGCGAAACGAGGAACGCATCGGTCGGCCTATTTGCGAGTGCAAAAGTTCAACTTTCAAGGCGTGCGGTTTCGGCTGTTGTTCAACCCTTTTCGGCCTTCAGTGCCCGTTACACAGGACATCTGTTTCGATCGCCGGAAAAAATCGGAACCACCGATCGGTGCGCGGTTTTCGCGGTCTTGTTCGGGAGACCAACGGTCGAATTTTCTCATCCGTCCGTCGCAAACGATTATCGGCGTTGTTATCGGGCGGCCTTAACGCGAAATACGATTCGGCGGCGACGGTGATTATTAACTGGTCGATAAAACGCACGGCGTTCTCACCGCGAAAACCCCACGTCGATCGCCGATGCGATACAACGCGGCGGACGGTATTCCGCGCCCGGTCCACAACGATTTGTCCGATTCGGGACGCTATTTTACCGCGATGAGTGCAGCGCCGCAGCGTAACAACGCCAAAACGTATCAATCACGAATCCGCGAGATCCGTTTACGGCGGGCGCGTCCTCGGGGTTTTACACCTTTGCCGCGCTAATTTATACGCAATGATCTTTACATTGCTGTTTAAATCGTACACGTAACGCGTACGCAATACGTACGTGTATACCTTCGAAACCGGACGAAATTGATTCGTTTTTTTTTTTCACTCGTCGAGAGCCCCTCATCACTTACCCGCTATACATCAATCTGTCAGCCGGCGATCATTAAGAACCCGCCTCGGACGAGACTTATAGGTATGGGAGACGGGTTATTCGGACTAATCGTTCAGATACAGCATCCGATATTATTCACGCGTTTTAGTATAATTTATCCAACAATATACGAGAGTAGTGCGCTGCGTACATACTAATATCAATCTATTACGGTATAAATTATAGATTTCGTTTCGTATGATTTTTCGTCCCGTAATAGCGTATTATTTCGGTGCCCGTGAACACTCGATTTGTGATATTACGATATTTTATATCTGGACCACGTTCATTTTTTCCGTTATAAGATGTACTTTTATTTGTTAAGACGCGGAGTTTCCGAGTGTTTTCCGGAATGACTTTTACGGTTAGACTTGGAGGCGACAAGTGGAGACATCTCCAATTTTTCAAATTGTTCGGGAGGAAAAGTAAACTGTTTCAGAAATTAACAAACAATATATTCAAATACCTTGACAATATTTGTGATTGATATTATGAAAAAGTTATTTTAGATTCTGAGTTTAGCGAAAAATGTATTGGTTTTACAAAGATGTTCATTGTTTATTTATTTTTTTATGTGAACACTTGAACGCAAATGTTCTCTGGGTCGTATTTAAGAGAGGTAATTTTTTGAAATTATCTTTAATGTTCGACATAACGAGGAAAACCTGGTTCTTTAGGTTAAAAAATATTAAAAATAAGATTATCATTGGCAACCGTATTTTATTTATTTTTCGTTATTGTTTAAATATTTTTCAAACAATCATTGTTCTCATGTAAACGTACATTGTCGTCATCATTTTACCGTAATATGACATATATATTGTTGACAAAGCGACACTGTCACCCGAATTCCGCTCAGAATCGTTTTATCGTTAGCAATAGTTTATTGTCGTTTACAGACGTACATTGAATTCCCGTCTGTGTCCTACCTTCACAACTTCCCATCTATAACAGTGGCTACACCCTCGTGCGAAATGTCTCCGTTCTTTTTCTAACTTATAATGTATATAAAGAATGTTATTAATATTACATCGTTTAGACTTTATGCTGAAACCTTGTCAGTTGTCATAGATGTGTTCATACCATATTTTATATATTTTATAAAAATAAATTATAAGACGTAATCATAAATTACGTACAGTATGCCCAACATTCGGTGCAACAACCAGACACATACCGGATATGTCTTGTTGTCGCAACAAAACAAAAACCAGTCCTCTCCATGTGTACAATATCTCTGTATTTAATGGTCGGATTTGTCTCGTTGTCGCACCAATATTACTTGTTGTCGTATATTGTTTTATGTTACCGATAAAAGTTGAATACTGATTTTTGTCAAATTATGGATATGTCTGGTTATTGCCGCCAGGTCTTCATGTGTGCCCCCTTCATGCTAAAAAAAAAAAAAAAAAAAAATCATGTTTATTAATAATAAAATATTATATAATATTCTAGAACTTTACGCGTACCTACGATAGTTTAACGACTTCCGAACGGTGTCGTTTTCTTTTAAAACTAACCGAGACAAACATTATACATATTGTACAAAACGCGTATTAAAAATGTAATACAAACAAAAAAATAATAATCAAACATGCGTTGACGTATACCTGGGAGGTAGTGTACACGTTATACGTTTTGTATAACACACAATGTTCCGAACTGATGGAACTTTAATATCACACTTATTACACGGATAACAATAATTATAATATTATAATGGCGTGTAACGTGTACGTCTAGAAACGGCCAAATTATAGTGCAAACCGAATTATTTTCACGAACCGGTTTTTTAAGGACATCAAAATTATTATTATATTCTGCCATAGTTTAGTTCAGTACACACAATCGATTTAAACACGAAAACTGGTAAAATCTAATGGGAGTTGTACGAAATTTTTAATAACCGTAAAACATTACACGGCTGATGTATTATTATAACGGAACAGACCCAAATTATCATTATAACTTATTTGGTTATTTTATTTCAAATATTATTACGCGTTATGTGCAGGTGTATACTAATCTGCATAATGTATATGTTACGTTTTCCATTATGTTACGTGTTTTTAAAATAAACTATGAAGCGTAATAATAACTATTTAAAAAAAAAAAAAAATAATAGCCGACACAACTGAGGGGAACGCAACTATTATATATACGGGGAAAAAAGCTATTTGCACAGGTTTGGAAATATTTTCAAGCCCGTTCTTGCTCAGACCCCTCCCCCCTCCCCGACCCCGTTCGAAAATCTCGGTACACTTCAACCTTAAACTGTGCAACAAGCCACTTCCGAATTTAAAATTATAATATGACGCCGACACGGGTCATTTATTAGAAATACGTGACCCAGCTCGGCCCAGTCGAGCTCGTTTGTCGAGCCCATCAGAATCCATTTGGTATTATCCAGCGTAGGATTGAAAACCAGCGCGAAATTGGATTGGAAGTCGATATTGTTTCTAAAAATAACTAAAGACTTTGCGGCAACAAAGTCTTAGGCATTGTTACCGTAATACAATGTCCACTAGAGCGATTTTAAGCTTTAAACTGTGTATACATTTACTCGCTCGCACAATTGTCAATGATAAACGATTATATTTTTTATTAATAGTCAACTAAAGTTTAAATAAATAACACTATGCGTACGCATTTGAGATATCTGCACAACAGACGGGCAGTGGGCAGGTAAATGGCAATGTATAATAAATCGTGGGGCCCGTAGGTTCTCCAGACACAAACATTACTTGAAACCCCGACCGTGTCCAGACCGATACTGACATCGATAACGCGGAAATTCTATTAACAGGAAATCGCACACACGCATAAAATCTAAACATGTTTAATGCAATATTCAAAATCAGAAGGTTTTAAATGTCGACGAATTAAAATGTAGGCATTTTAAATTCATTCATTTCGTCACGATGGTTTCACTAAATTGAAAACAGATTTTCTTTATTGCCTTGTTAATTGATTAACTCAGAGGTTCCCAACCTTTTTTGACCCACGGCACCATTGATTATCTTCTAAAAATCCGGAGGCGCCAAATGGCCCATACCCAATACCGAACATGCAACAGTAATATATCGTGTGTTTAAATTTAAATTTGTGCGACTTGGGTTTTATTTAGCGGAGTGCCTTAGTACAAACAAAAATAGTAGGTATCTGGTGTATGCACATATTATATTTAAAAAAAAAAAAAACAAATTATGACATTGAACATTGTCTACAGCAATCGGTAGCGATCGAACCAGTAACGAAAATTAAAATAGATTGAACGCGGCAGTGTTCTATGCACAAACTACATGTATTATGTAATTAATATATTAAATTATATTGTGTACAATTAATTATAAACAATAATTTGTTTACTATAGAGTTTAGTACTATGGTCTGTTTTGTTACTCACAGTGCTATATTTTTCAAAAAGTTGCTTTTTTTTTTTAAGAAAAAAAAAATAAAATAAATATATTTCATATAATTTCGTGGCACCCTGGTTGGGAACCTCTGGATTAACTGGTTGTAATATTTTTATTTTTCCGTAGTTCAGACAAAATTATTTTCATCGGGTGATTATTATGTTTACGGTACATAAATTTGACACCATTGCATACACGAATTCATCCGTAATCTGGTTAGTTTTATTTATAAAATCCGTCAATAAACATACGCAATCGTATTGCTAAAAAGGACTAACGAGTCAACATTCGCAATCGTGTTCTACCCGTTGCAAGGGGAAAATCACGAATAGTACTATGTAACCTTACCCCTTAGGTGCAACATTAATGTGAATTAGAGTTTCATATATTTTATTCAAACAAATTTTACAAATCAACAAAAAATTACAACATTTATGAACAAAAAAAAAAAAATTAAATTATTCATTTTATTCAACTAAATTGCAGGGCATTAAAATGAATACAAAATGATAGGTTTCGAGTATCTTAGCAGCGAAGATTTATATTTTATCGAGCGGTAAATTACAGTAGAGGTTTTTTATTACCTAATTAACATTTGAATTGAATCACCATAGTTGTTCTCGTATATATAAAAAAAACTAATTAACCGCGCTAAGCCGCTACTTATCTCATCTGTGACGCAATTCGGGTTTACTACGGACGAGATGTCAAATCTGAAAAGAAAATTAAATAATTGCAACGATATAAAATAATGGTTTCAATTATTTTCCTCTCGTTCACCGAACGTCCAATGTAATACTGAACTATTAAAATCGGCCAGCCAAAATAATACACAAAACTCAGGCGAGGTTATGAAACCTCACCTAGATGTTTTTTAAAATAAATTTCTTTAGACTTGTTTTGAAACGATCGCCCGTTTACCGGCGACCGAAACGAGAACCTATTGTAATCAAAAGTAAAATAAAAGATAATGAACCGGGAACGTCGAGTCAAATCGTTAGCCGGCCAAATTTCTCTTCGCGCAATCGCATAATCCGCGGTTGAAATTATTACCCCGAGCGATAATAATAATAAAATCAAATTTCCACAGCTTAATTATCGAGGATTGATATCGGTAGGGGAGCGACATAATATCTTCTTGGCCGTATACGAATAGTAAAATGTGCAGGCGCTCGGCGTATAAATTTAATATCCGACGCGCACATTAAAATAAACATATATATTACATAGGAACGTATCATTCGGAGTCGGCATTATTTATACGCGGTTGAAAAAAAATGAATAAATATCCGCCGGACGCCGCGGTAACGTATTAATTCGGCCCGAATGAAATTCGATAGTATAATTTGTGTGATAATTACGTACCGGTATCGGGATTCGAAACCGCGCACGATAATATACGCGTATTTCGAATATACTGCGCTGTGCGTAATGCGTGCGCGCGTACGTAATGCCGGGACTCGTATACGGACGTGAATAGCGGCGGACGTGGGTCGTTGAAATCCGAAAATCGGACCCCCCGGGGCAGGTGTCTACCGACAGACAGGCACTCGCGGCGCATTCGAATCTCGGATTATCGCCGTCCGATTATAAAAATCAATATTACTTAACGTTAAACGGACGCGGCCGAAAAACTATGTTATTAAATCGTTTTCGGACGATTCGCGTACAGGTTGTATTATACCTGCAGGTGCCTGTAATATAATTCACGAGCACCCGCTTATGATAATAACGATCCGTTAACCGGCAGGATGGAAAACTGAAACGACTGCTCGTCGGATCGGGAGCGGTAGTGTACGAAAATAACACGACGGCGCGCAGTGGCGCACGCGGAATTTTCGAATTTTCAAAACGGGGTGGCCGAGAGGGAACGGAGTTGAGTAATCGCGGTAAATGGAAATCGCGTATGACGCGTGTGTCGAAATGAGTGAAAACAAGGAAAGGTATCCAGGCCGGGACGCGGGTGTTCGAAATGTGACGTTACGGACGAACGCGAGAGATTGACGTTCGGATCGACTTACGAGTTTCCACCGGATAAAGAAGACCGTTGTGGAAACTGTTATAAAGATACGGGAATTAGCGGACACGTCGTATTCTCGGACCGGGACGGTGGCTAGGGACAGTGTCGGAATAAGATCGAGACCGCGTGTACGAACCGGACAACGACGGACGATCGGGATCGTAAATCATGCCGGGAAATGAAGAGGAAGGTGGTTAGACGGCAGAGCGGATCGTGGAAATTGGCGCAACGCGACTGTGTAACAGGAGGAGACTGACGCGAGCGGAATACACCAGCTGTACGTCTGTCGTACATCTGTGTATACGGGCGATTACGGAGAGCCGTCGATTCACAAAAGGATCGACAACTGTCGCGAAAGCCGTACGGATTTTTCGTCCGGTATTCGGTACGCCGACGGAAAGATCCTCGGAATTCGTACGGACTGTAGTGCCGGCGTCCGAAGCGCCCCCCTGCCCTGCACTACTTCCGGAATTTCACGCGCGGTTAGGCGGGGGTTAGGAAGGCCCGACCCCCTCCCCCCCCGGCCACCCGCGGTGTTATTGTTCGTGATGAGTGTATAGGTTGTCGCGCGATGCGATAATACTACGCGGACGGGACGGTCTCGGCGGAAACCGAATGCGGCGCAGCGTAAAAAAACGCGTGTTCGCGTTCGTGTTTTTTTTTTTTTTTTTTTTTT